CTCAAATTCAGTAATTTTCTTTGATTTAGCAGTGATATTATTTTTAGATGGAATTGATTTTTAGAACTTACAATAAGACTGTCAATGTGAATAGTCGCCGCTTGTAGAATTCAACCCCTCAAGGGAGGGTCCTAGACGTTGGTGAGGGTCTCTTGATCTAGGGAGTTAGATCTGTGCTCCAGTTCCCTAAATTAAACCTGAGTACCTTCCACCCCCCCACATGCACTATATAATCCCACGGGTCTAGAGCTCCTTCATGATTATAATATTTTAGAATTCAAGTTCTTGACCTGAATGCCATTAAATATGAAACAAAAAAGTACATATATACTTACTAGACTATATCCCAGCTGATGTTTGTTATAACCATGTACAATGATATATTTAATTTACTGACATGTACATTCGTTACATACCCAATGTATTAGTCTTATTTGAATCCATTTGTCCTATATATATATATATATATATATATATATATATATATATATATATATATATATATATATATATATATAAAATATATATATATATATATATATATATATATATATATATAATATATATGAGGTGTTGCATGGCATGAGAAGCAACAGAAGGAATTAGGAGAGGGTAGGGTATTTAGGTGGGTGGCGAGCGGTGCCTCTCATATCTGAGAGAAGCTGCCTGGTGTCACCACGCTATCTTTCTTTGAGAAAACTTAAACTCATTTCACTTGTTGCTACTCTTGCAACATTGCATAGCAACTGGTGATGTACTGAGACATGAGAAAGTACTTCAACTGAAGATTTCCAACTCCTTGGCTTGTCTTGAATATGTATGTATATATATGTCGTATCGAATAGGTAAAACGTGCGATTTTGGCTTAAATAACAACGCTGTTCTTGCCGAGTAAGGCAAGTGAAAATTTGTGTATTACCTGGAGTTTACCTGGAGAGAGTTCCGGGGGTCAACGCCCCCGCGGCCCGGTCTGTGACCAGGCCTCCTGGTGGATCAGAGCCTGATCAACCAGGCTGTTACTGCTGGCTGCACGCAATCCAACATACGAACCACAGCCTGGCTGGTCAGGTACCGACTTTAGGTGTTTGTCCAGTGCCAGCTTGAAGACTGCCAGGGTCTATTGGTAATCCCACTTATGTATGCTGGGAGGCAGTTGAACAGTCTCGGGCCCCTGACACTTATTGTATTGTCTCAACGTGCTAGTGACACCCCTGCTTTTCATTGAAGGGATGTTGCATCGTCTGCCATCTGCCATCGTTGTGAGTGATTTTCGTGTGCAAGTTCGGTACTAGTCCCTCTAGGATTTTCCAGGTGTATATAATCATGTATCTCTCCCGCCTGCGTTCCAGGGAATACAGGTTCAGGAACTTTAAACGCTCCCAGCAATTGAGGTGTTTTATCTCCGTTATGCGCGCTGTGAAGGTTCTCTGTACATTTTCTAGGTCAGCAATTTCACCTGCCTTGAAAGGTGCTGTTAGTGTGCAGCAATATTCCAGCCTAGATAGAACAAGCTACCTGAAGAGTGTCATCATGGGCTTGGCATCCCTAGTTTTGAAGGTTCTCATTATCCATCCTGTCATTTTTCTAGCAGCTGCGATTGATATGTTATGGTCCTTGAAGGTGAGATCCTCCGACATGATCACTCCCAGGTCTTTGACGTTGGTTTTTCGCTCTATTTTATGGCCGGAATTTGTTTTGTACTCTGATGAAGTTTTAATTTCCTCGTGTTTACCATATCGGAGTAATTGAAATTTCTCATCGTTGAACTTCATATTGTTTTCTGCAGCCCATTGAAAGATTTGGTTGATGTCCGCCTGGAGCCTTGCAGTGTCTGCAATAGAAGACACTGTCATACAGATTCGGGTGTCATCTGCAAAGGAAAACATGGTGCTGTGGCTGACATCCTTGTCTATGTCAGATATGAGGAACAGAGCTTTTCACCGTAACCGCCTCGGACTTTTCTGTTGACTACTACTCTTTGTGTTCTGTTTGTGAGGAAATTATAGATCAATCTACCAACTTTTCCTGATATTCCTTTAGCAAGCATTTTGTGCGCTATTACGCAATGGTCACACTTGTCGAAGGCTTTTGCAAAGTCTGTATATATTACATCTGCATTATTTTTGTCTTCTAGTGCATCTAGGACCTTGTCGTAGTGATCCAGTAGTTGAGACAGACAGGAGCGACCTGCTCGAAACCCATGTTGCCCTGGGTTGTGTAATTGATGGGTTTCTAGATGGGTTGCGATCTTGCTTCTTAGGATCCTTTTAAGGATTTTTATGATATGGGATGTTAGTGCTATCAGTCTCTAGTTATTTGCTATTGCTTTACTGCCCCCTTTGTGGAGTGGGGCTATGTCTGTTGTTTTTAGTAGCTGTGGGACAACACCCGTGTCCATGCTCCCTCTCCATAGGATGGTAAAAGCTCGTGATAGGGGCTTCTTGCAATTCTTTATGAACACGGAGTTCCATGAGGAAAAGAAATACTTTGGTTTTTTTTTCGATTTCATTTATGGCTTTTAGTTCTTCCCGCGATTCCTGACTCCTATAAGATTCCTTTAGCTTAAGTTCGATGTTTGCTATTTCTCTGACCAGTGACTCTCTACGCATTTCAGATATATTGGCCTCTTTTAGCCGCTCTGTTATTCTTTTTCGTCGCCTGTAAAGGGAGCGCCTGTCTCTTTCTATTTTACATCTACTCCTCCTTTTTCTTAAAGGAATAAGCCTTGAGCATACATCGAGTGCCATCGAGTTAATCTGTTCTAGGCATAAGTTGGGGTCTGTGTTGCTTAGTATATCTTCCCAGCTTATATCGGTTAGGACTTGGTTTACTTGGTCCCACTTTATGTTCTTGTTATTGATGTTGAATTTGGTGAAGGCTCCCTCATGACTAATCTAATTATGTCGGTCTGGGGCTCCGCGCATACATGTCTGAACCTCGATTATGTTGTGATCTGAGTATATTGTTTTTGATATGGTGACATTTCGTATCAGATCATCTTTGTTAGTGAAGATGAGGTCTAGTGTATTCTGTCTAGTAGGCTCTATTATTTGCTGGTTTAAGTTGAATTTTGTGCAGAGATTTAAAAGCTCGTGTGTGTGTGAGAGTTTTCGTCAAGTGATCCTTTATGTGGGTCTCTGTGAAAACCGCGAACATTGTATTTGCCTCTGCAAGCACTCCACGGATGAAAGGTATTTTGTTGTTCGTTGCTGATTTTAGACCCTGTATATTTGCAAAGAAGAATGTCATCGGACTGATCTTATCGGTGGTAATGGGGGGACTTTTTTTCGGCATTAGTATCTGTATCTGTTGGTTTGGAGTGGAGGCCATCGTCTGTTGTTCCACTCCAGGAATGACTGGATTTGGTGTACGATTTCCGCCATTTCCTGCCAGTTTCTTTTTCCTTCCTGGCACTAAAAAACCTCTCCCTCTTGAGTGGCTGTGGCTACCCAGGTTTTCCCATGACCTGGATGTTTTCTATCTTTTTGTCCCCTTTAGATGGTGTGCCTGGCAATTTAAGTTATAGCACAGTCTTTCCTGTACTGAAGAGGGACACATTTCAGGGTGACAAAACTTACAGGGAGTGAGTTTGCATTTTCCTGTTGTCATATGGGCACGGCATTTTCTAGGGTGGTCAAAGTTGCACGTCCCGTCTGTTTTTCCAGATTTCCCATGCCTGCAGATTCCAAGTGCATGGTATGTGCACAGGCTTGGTTTCCGTTTGCCTTGGGTTTCTGTGACTGTATTCCCTGTTGGTGCATGTTTCCCTGTCTTAGTCCTATCCTCACTAGCACCAACAATGGAGCTCTCACCAGTTGTTTTTGGTAATATATCCTCACTATTGCTAGTGGAGTCCTCTTGTTTGCTATTTCCTGTGGTATTACTAGTTTGTAATATTAGTTTTATGTAATAAATTTCGCAAAAATCATTCTGAACCTAACGAGAAAAAAATATTTTATTATGTTATATTATTAAATTATTGTAAACTTACATAAAATATATTTAGTTGACTTAGGCTAAATTAAATTGCGCTTGTTATAATAAGGTTAGGTAAGATTCTTTTGGTAAAAGATATTAAATTTTACATTAACGTAAATGAAAACAAATCTTTAAAACGTATGACATAAAATTTTAGCAAGGACTTAATTTTAAACGAGTTCTTAGTAATTGACCAGTTTTACCTATTCGGCACGACATTATATATATATAAATTTATATAAAATATTATATATATATATATATATGAGGGAATCATAGAATTGATGAGGGAAAAAGAGTGAGTGGTGCACTTAGGGCCCTGTGGAGACAGGAGACTTTGTCCTTGGAGGCAAAGAGGGGATTGTATGGAGTAGTTTTACCAACGCTCTTATATGGGTGTGAAGCATGGGTGATGAATGTTTGCAGCGAGGAGAAGGTTGGAGGCAGTGAGATGTCATGTCTGAGGGCAATGTGTGGTGTGAATATAATGCAGATGAATTCGTAGTTTGGAAGTTAGGAGGAGGTGCGGGATTACCAAAACTGTTGTCCAGAGGCTGAGGAAGGTTGTTGAGGTGTTCGGACATGTAGAGAGAATGGAGCAAAACAGAATTAACTTCAAGAGTGTATCAGTCTGTATGTGGAAGGAAGGGGGGTAGGGGTCGGCCTAGGAAGGGTTGGAGGGAGGGGGTAAAATGGAGGTTTTGTGTGCGAAGGGGCTTGGACTTCCAGCAGGCATGCGTGAGCGTGTTTGATAGGAGTGAATGGAGACAATGGTTTTTAAATACTTGACGTGCTGTTGGAGTGTGAGCAAAGTAAACATTTATGAAGGGATTCAGGGAAACCGGCAGGCCGGACTTGAGTCCTGGAGATGGGAAGTACAGTGCCTGCACTCTGAAGGAGGGGTGTTAATGTTGCAGTTTAAAAACTGTAGTGTTAAAGCACCTTCTGGCAAGATAGTGATGGAGTGAATGATGGTGGAAGTTTTTCTTTTTGGGCCACCCTGCCTTGGTGGGAATCGGCCAGTGTGATAAAAAAAAATAAAAATAAATATAATATATATATATATATATATATATATATATATATTGCTCATGTAGTCTTCATTGAGGCTTAAGTTTGCCCGAAATGCTCTGCATAACAATGGACTTTCTACATGCGTTATTAACTGTTATTCATTTTTTGAACAAACAACGTATCATGTGGAAGTAAATTATTAATCTGAATTTGAGTTTCTAAAATATTAAATATGCAAATATTTCTTCCCTTATAAACATTCATTCAACAATCTTTAACAATCACTGATACTATTAACAAGATCTGTTTAAGATTACCACCTAAGATATTACTCCATATTCTAACATCTCATCAAATATAGAGAGAAGTCGAGGTCGCAGAAGTGGATTACTATCCAACTGTTTCAACATCCTTTCCCTGTGCTCCTTTACAAGCGATTCATAGTCTGCATCGGTTATATTATCCAGATCCATTATCTCCGCTGCCTGACTCACCACAATAGGCACAACCATCATTCCCATTATCAAACCAAACAAGTTCTTCTTGTGATATTCCTCTCGTAGTTCCTGAGATGTAAACTCAGCTTTGGTTCCTCCTGCCTCCAGCACCTCTCTTAAGGACTCATAGTAAACATTCAAGAAGGTTTCCAAATTGTCCTTCCTTTCAGGACCATTGAAACTGGTGTACATGAAGTAGTTGAGGTCTGTGGCTGGCGAGGCTTTGCGACTGATTTGGAAGTCCAGCAGTCTTACATCGACCGGGACACCTGTCTCATCGTACCTGTTGGATAAATATTTGCATGTAAGTCAGTTTAAGCCATAACAAACGACTGTCGCTGAATAAACAAGAAGGTGGACAGAGGCTCAAACCGTGGTCACGAGATTAACACGTCCAGCCCGGTGGCTCAGTTGTAAAGCATTGGACCTGTTATTCTCTGAACCACGGTTAGAGTCTCTGAACCACGGTTACAGTCAACTGCCATTCACTACAGTGAATGGTAGTTGAATTCCAAAAGTTTTTGTGAGGTTTCATTTACATTTTCAAGAATAATTCTTTGAGAATGAAACTGAAAGATGAAGAAAACTTTTGTAATATAATTAATATTCAGTGTAGTTAAACAATTTATTAAAGCATAACTCGTATACTGTGATGTTATTGTAAATATTAACATATAATGTTGGAAGTGTAATGAACACTAGACATTGGAAACAGAGAAACTCTGGAGTCATAAATATTGCAAGAAATTAATGTGCTGAAGGTCTCAGAGGCCGAAGTATAAAACCCACTCTTGATCCAAGAAATAGGAGTTGCCCACTATTCTGTACGTGTGCAAGACACGTAGACTTGATCCTCCGTAAAGGACTTAACCCTCTGACCTCTCCCATGAGACGAAAGAATGGCGATCCGGCTTTGGGAAACCTGAATAAATACGATTTTCCCTTGGCGTTGCATGAGCACTATGGGTTTGAGCGCTTTCCTATGAGTATAATATTATGCTTACTTGAACAAGATGTTGTTGTTCCAGCAGTCACCATGACAAAGCACATCAAAGGGAGGACTCTTCTTTATTTGTTCCAGGAAGACGTCGCTACTACTTGGTGCAAAGTCTTTCAGCCAATCAGCGACTTTTTCGTACCCACCGATTCTCTCTGCTATCTCTGCTGCATTCTCGGCTTGTGAAGTAAGCATTTTCTTAAAGTCATCGCCTCCAGACATTGAGTGAAAGTCTTTTTGAATATATGTGTACTTGTCTTCCAATACTACTGATGTTTCTTTCTGATATAAGATAGAGGCAGCGTGAAGTTTACCTAGTTCCTTGAGGACAAGGACAGCGTGGGCCTTGTCCATTCCTTTCATACGGTCAAACATTTTGAAACCTTCCGGGCGCAAATCTCCAAGAAATATAACTTCCTCTTGTTTAGTCAAGTGAGCAAAATAGCAGTGAGGAGCCCGTATTGGTTCACGTCCTACAAGACTGAGCTGAGCGTTGAATAAGGGCAAAAGTTCCAGGTAATATCCCGCCTCCTTCTGAAAAACTATGGTCGAAAATTCATTGAATATTGGGAGGTCCCGACATGGATTACATTTAACTACAAATGAGGTTTTCCTGTCTTTTCCTTCTTTATGATAACAAACATCTACACTTGTCACGATGCATGCGTAGTTGTCGCCCTTGTTAGTGAAGTCTGTAACAGTCCATGAGAGCAGCTGTGCACTGCTGCCTTGTTGTGCCTTCAGAGCTTGTTTGACGTGCGACTCTGTGATGAGACTTCGGTATGTTTTCTGTGGAGCCTCATTCACCTCTTCTAACTGCTTCACATCTACTGCCTCTTCTGCTTGCCTGCCATTCACTGTATTCTCTGCTTGCCTGCCATTCACTGTATTCTCTTCTTGCCTGCCATTCACTGCCTCTTCTTGTTTGTCACACACTGCAAAACACGAATGTCAGTATGAGTTCATTTTGATGTTCTTTATGCTTATAGTAGAAGGAGTGGTGTTGGGGGGATGGGATGTTAGTGACTTACAGATAACCAGTGTATTTCATTCAGTGTAATGAGTAATGGAGGCTTAGTCCTCTTTCTTCGATGTGTGGTTTAGCGCTTAACTTGTCTACATTAACAACAATAAAAATAGTAAACCACGGAATTGGTAGGATTAGAACCCATGGCAAGTGAGTCGTGAAACTCCAGGCAGGTGCGTTAGCCACTGGGCAGCTGGTTTATTTATTCAACTAGATATATTGCAATCGTGTTATTACAACTTCATGAATAATAATTATAATAATAATAATAATAATACATCATCGTGCCATCCTTGACAGCTTTGTTTGTCCAACAGTAGTGACCCATCACATTTCCCATACTACTTGTTAATACAAATTCCATTTGACTATATTTATATGTTTTGAAGCGACTGCTGATTACAATGGTCTGTTTGAAGATAAGAGTAGAACAGTTGATTACGAAGCATGACCTTGCTAAAATATAAGGTAATATTTCTGAAATATTTTTGTGAGTTAATTCATCTATGAATAAATAACTCATTACTATTGTCACCAGACATAAACATGTAAATAGTTCATTACCATTGTAACATGATTAGTTAGAAAAACTTTGAGGCCCACTTTTTCATGACTCACGAAATCTTAATGGCACGATTGCAAACAAACCATACTACGGGAGGGGATAGAACCCGCGATCAGAGTTATAAAAGTCCAGACTGAAGCGTTTCATTACATACTTCTGTAGTCTTTTGACTACCACCCACAGGATGGGTATTGGATAACTACCACCCACAGGATTGGTATTGGAGGACTACCACCCACAGCATGGGTATTGGATGACTACCACCCACAGGATGGGTATTGGATAACTACCACCCACAGGATTGGTATTGGATGACTACCACCCACAGGATGGATACTGAATGACTACCACCCACAGGATGGATATTGGATGACTGCAACCCTCAGGATGGATATTGGATGAATACCACCCACAGGATGGATATTGGATGAGTACCACCCACAGGATGGGTATTGGATGAATACCACCCACAGGATGGGTATTGGATGACTATCACCCACAGGATGGATATTGGACGACTACCACCCACAGGATGGATATTGGATGACTACCACCCACAGGATGGATATTGGATGAGTACCACCCACAGGATGGATATTGGATGAGTACCACCCACAGGATGGATATTGGATGAGTACCACCCACAGAATGGGTATGGGATGAATACCACCCACAGGATGGGTATTGGATGACCACCACCCACAGAATGGATATTGGATGACTACCACCCACAGAATGGATATTGGATGACTACCACCCACAGGATGGGTATTGGATGACTACCACCCACAGAATGGATATTGGATGACTACCACCCACAGGATGGGTATTGGATGAATACCACCCACATAATGAATATTGGATGAGTACCACCCACAGGATGGATATTGGATGACTGCCACCCACAGGATGGATATTGGATGACTACCACCCACAGGATGGGTATTGGATGACTACCACCCACAGGATGGATATTGGATGATTACCACCCACAGGATAGATATTGGATGACTACCATCCACAGGATGGGTATTGGATGACTACCACCCACAGGATGGGTATGGGGTGACTACCACCCACAGGATGGGCATGGGGTGACTACGACCCACAGGATGGATATTGGATGACTACCACCCACAGGATGGGTATTGGATGACTACCACCCACAGGATGGATATTGGATGACTGCAACCCTCAGGATGGATATTGGATGAGTACCACCCACAGGATGAATATTGGATGACTGCCACCCACAGGATGGATATTGGATGAGTACCACCCACAGGATGGGTATTGGATGACCACACCCACAGAATGGATATTGGATGACTACCACCCACAGGATGGGTATTGGATGAATACCACCCACATAATGGATATTGGATGAGTACCACCCACAGGATGGATATTGGATGACTGCCACCCACAGGATGGATATTGGATGACTACCACCCACAGGATGGGTATTGGATGACTACCACCCACAGGATGGATATTGGATGATTACCACCCACAGGATAGATATTGGATGACTACCATCCACAGGATGGGTATTGGATGACTACCACCCACAGGATGCATATTGGATGATTACCACCCACAGGATGGACATTGGATGACTACCACCCACAGGATGGGTATTGGATGAATACCACCCACAGGATGGGTATTGGATGACTATCACCCACAGGATGGATATTGGACGACTACCACCCACAGGATGGATATTGGATGACTACCACCCACAGGATGGATATTGGATGAGTACCACCCACAGGATGGATATTGGATGAGTACCACCCACAGGATGGATATTGGATGAGTACCACCCACAGAATGGGTATGGGATGAATACCACCCACAGGATGGGTATTGGATGGACCCCCACCCACAGAATGGATATTGGATGACTACCACCCACAGAATGGATATTGGATGACTACCACCCACAGGATGGGTATTGGATGACTACCACCCACAGAATGGATATTGGATGACTACCACCCACAGGATGGGTATTGGATGAATACCACCCACATAATGGATATTGGATGAGTACCACCCACAGGATGGATATTGGATGACTGCCACCCACAGGATGGATATTGGATGACTACCACCCACAGGATGGGTATTGGATGACTACCACCCACAGGATGGATATTGGATGATTACCACCCACAGGATAGATATTGGATGACTACCATCCACAGGATGGGTATTGGATGACTACCACCCACAGGATGGGTATGGGGTGACTACCACCCACAGGATGGCATGGGGTGACTACGACCCACAGGATGGATATTGGATGACTACCACCCACAGGATGGGTATTGGATGACTACCACCCACAGGATGGATATTGGATGACTGCAACCCTCAGGATGGATATTGGATGAGTACCACCCACAGGATGAATATTGGATGACTGCCACCCACAGGATGGATATTGGATGAGTACCACCCACAGGATGGGTATTGGATGACCACCACCCACAGAATGGATATTGGATGACTACCACCCACAGGATGGGTATTGGATGAATACCACCCACATAATGGATATTGGATGAGTACCACCCACAGGATGGATATTGGATGACTGCCACCCACAGGATGGATATTGGATGACTACCACCCACAGGATGGGTATTGGATGACTACCACCCACAGGATGGATATTGGATGATTACCACCCACAGGATAGATATTGGATGACTACCATCCACAGGATGGGTATTGGATGACTACCACCCACAGGATGCATATTGGATGATTACCACCCACAGGATGGACATTGGATGACTACCACCCACAGGATGGGTATTGGATGACTACCACCCACAGGATGGATATTGGATGACTACCACCCACAGGATGGGTATTGGATGACTACCACCCACAGGATGGGTATGGGGTGACTACCACCCACAGGATGGGCATGGGGTGACTACGACCCACAGGATGGATATTGGATGACTACCACCCACAGGATGGGTATTGGATGACTACCACCCACAGGATGGGAATTGGATGACTACCACCCACAGGATGGGTACTGGATGACTGCCACCCACAGGATGGGTATGGGGTGACTACCATTCACAGGATGGGTATGGGGTGGCTACCACCCACAGGATGGGTATGAGGTGACTACCACCCACAGGATGGGTATGGGGTTACTACCACCCACAGGATGGGTACGGGGTGACTACCACCCACAGAATGGGTATGTGGTGACTACCACCTACAGGTTGGGTACGGGGTGACTGCCACGCGCTGGATGGGTATTGGGTGACTACCACCCACAGGATGGGTACGGGGTGACTACCACCCACAAGATGGGTATGGGGTGACTACCACCCACAGGATGGGTACGAGGTGACTACCACCCACAGGATGGGAACGGGGTGACTACCACCCACAGGATGGGTATTGGATGATTACCACCCAGAGGATGAGTACGGGATGACTACCACCCACAGGATGGGTACGGGGTGACTACCACCCACAGGATGGATACGGGGTGACTACCACCCACATGATGGGTATTGGATGACTACCACCCACAGGATGGGTATTGGATGACTACCACCCACAGGATGGGTATGGGGTGACTACCACCCATAGGATGGGTATGGGGTGACTACCACCCACAGGATGGGTATTGGGTGACTATCACCCACAGGATGGGTGAGGGGTGACTACTACCCACAGGATGGTTATGGGGTGGCTACCACCCAGAGGATGGGTATGGGGTCACTACCACCCACAGGATTGGTACGGGGTGACTACCACCCACAGGATGGGTACGGAGTGACTACGACCCACAGGATGGGTATTTGGTGACTACCACCGACAGGATGGGTATTTGGTGACTACCACCCTCAGGATGGATACGGGGTGACTACAACCCACAGGATGGGTATTGGGTGACTACCACCCACAGGATGGGTACGGCTTGACTACCACCCTCAGGATGGGTACGGGGTGACTACCACCCACGGGATGGGTACGGGGTGACTACGACGCACAGGATGGGTTTTTGGTGACTACGACCCACAGGATGGGTATGGGGTAACTACCACCCACAGGATGGGTACGGGGTGACTACCACCCACAGGATGGGTGAGGGGTGACTACCACCCACAGGATGGGTACGGGGTGACTACCACCCACAGGATGGGTACGGGGTGACTACCATCCACAGGATGGGTACGTGATGACTACCACCCACAGGATGGGTTTTTGGTGACTACGACCCACAGGATGGGTATGGGGTGACTACCACCCACAGGATGGGTACGGGGTGACTACCACCCACAGGATGGGTGCGGGGTGACTACCACCCACAGGATGGGTACGGGGTGACTACGACCCACAGGATGGGTATGGGGTGACTACCACCCACAGGATGGGTACGGGGTGACTACCACCCACAGGATGGGTGCGGGGTGACTACCACCCACAGGATGGGTACGGGGTGGCTACCACCCACAGGATGGGTATGGGGTGGCTACCACTTACAGGATGGGTACGGGGTGACTACTACCCACAGGATGGGTACGGGGTGACTACCACCCACAGGATGGGTACGGGGTGACTACCACCCACAGGATGGGTATGGGGTGACTACCATCCACAGGATGGGTACGGGGTGGCTACCACCCACATGATGAGTACAGGGTGACTACCACCCACAGGATGGGTTTTTGGTGACTACGACCCACAGGATGGGTATGGGGTGACTACCACCCACAGGATGGGTACGGGGTGACTACCACCCACAGGATGGGTGCGGGGTGGCTACCACCCACAGGATGGGTACGGGGTGGCTACCACCCACAGGATGGGTATGGGGTGGCTACCACCCACAGGATGGGTACGGGGTGACTACTACCCACAGGATAGGTACGGGGTAACTACCACCCACAGGATGGGTACGGGGTGACTACCACCCACAGGATGGGTACGGGGTGACTACCACCCACAGGATGGGTACGGGGTGACTACCACCCACAGGATGGGTACGGGGTGACTACCACCGACAGGATGGGAACGTGGTGGCTACCACCCACAGGATGGGTACGGGGTGACTACTACCCACAGGATGGGTATGGGGTGACTACCACCCACAGGATGGGTATGGGGTGGCTACCACCCACAATATGGGTACGGGGTGACTACCACCCACAGGATGGGTATGGGGTGGCTACCACCCACAGGATGGGTACGGGGTGCCTACCACCGACAGGATGGGTATGGGGTGGCTACCACCCACAGGATGGGTACAGGGTGACTACCACCCACAGGATGGGTATGGGGTGGCTACCACCCACAGGATGGGTACGGGGTGACTACCACCCACAGGATGGGTATGGGGTGGCTACCACCCACAGGATGGGTACAGGGTGACTACCACTCACAGGATGGGTACGAGGTGACTACCACCCACAGGATGGGTACGGGGTGACTACCACCCACAGGATGGGTACGGGGTGACTACCACCGACAGGATGGGTACGGGGTGACTACCACCCACAGGATGGGTACGGGGTGACTACCACCCACAGGATGGGTACGGGGTGACTACCACCCACAGGATGGGTACGGGGTGACTACCACCCACAGGATGGGTACGGGGTGGCTACCACCCACAGGATGGGTACGGGGTGACTACCACCCACAGGATTGGTATGGGGTGACTACCACCCACAGGATGGGTACGGGGTGACTACCACCCACAGGATGGGTACGGGGTGACTACCACCCACAGGATGGGTACGGGGTGGGCTACCACCCACAGGATGGGTATGGGGTGACTACCACCCACAGGATGGGTACGGGGTGACTACCACCCACAGGTATGGGTACGGGGTGACTACCACCCACAGGATGGGTACGGGGTGACTACCACCCACAGGATGGGTACGGGGTGACTACCACCCACAGGATGGGTACGGGGTGACTACCACCGACAGGATGGGTACGGGGTGACTACCACCCACAGGATGGGTACGGGGTGACTACCACCCACAGGATGGGTATGGGGTGACTACCACCCACAGGACGGGTACAGCGTGACTACCACCGACAGGATGGGTATGGGGTGACTACCACCCACAGGATGGGTACGGGGTGACTACCACCGACAGGATGGGTACGGGGTGACTACCACCCACAGGATGGGTACGGGGTGACTACCACCCACAGGATGGGTACGGGGTGACTACCACCGACAGGATGGGTACGGGGTGACTACCACCGACAGGATGGGTACGGGGTGACTACCACCCACAGGATGGGTACGGGGTGACTACCACCCACAGGATGGGTATGGGGTGACTACCACCCACAGGATGGGTACGGGGTGACTACCACCGACAGGATGGGTACGGGGTGACTACCACCCACAGGATGGGTACGGGGTGACTACCACCGACAGGATGGGTACGGGGTGACTACCACCGACAGGATGGGTACGGGGTGACTACCACCCACAGGATGGGTACGGGGTGACTACCACCACAGGATGGGTACGGGTGACTACCACCGACAGGATGGGTACGGGGTGACTACCACCGACAGGATGGGTACGGGGTGACTACCACCCACAGGATGGGTACGGGGTGACTACCACCCACAGGATGGGTACGGGGTGACTACCACCGACAGGATGGGTACGGGGTGACTACCACCGACAGGATGGGTACGGGGTGACTACCACCGACAGGATGGGTACGGGGTGACTACCACCGACAGGATGGGTACGGGGTGACTACCACCCACAGGATGGGTACGGGGTGACTACCACCCACAGGATGGGTACGGGGTGACTACCACCGACAGGATGGGTACGGGGTGACTACACCGACAGGATGGGTACGGGGTGACTACCACCGACAGGATGGGTACGGGGTGACTACCACCCACAGGATGGGTACGGGGTGACTACCACCGACAGGATGGGTACGGGGTGACTACCACCGACAGGATGGGTACGGGGTGACTACCACCCACAGGATGGGTACGGGGTGACTACCACCCACAGGATGGGTACAGGGTGACTACCACCCACAGGATGGGTATGGGGTGACTACCACCCACAGGATGGGTACGGGGTGACTACCACCCACAGGATGGGTACGGGGTGACTACCACCGACAGGATGGGTACGGGGTGACTACCACCGACAGGATGGGTACGGGGTGACTACCACCCACAGGATGGGTACGGGGTGACTACCACCGACAGGATGGGTACGGGGTGACTACCACCGACAGGATGGGTACGGGGTGACTTACCACCGACAGGATGGGTACGGGGTGACTACCACCGACAGGATGGGTACGGGGTGACTACCACCCACAGGATGGGTACCCGGTGTGTAATTAATATATTAAACTAAGTGAAGTATGAAAAGAACGGCTGAAAGGGATTTATCAGTGAAACTTTTTTTTATTAAAAAAACTAACAAGGTTTACCTGTCGTCTGTCACGCTGGATGAGTTTACTTTCGTATTCCATTACACTTAATATTTTTTGTGTCATATTCCATTTTCTGTCATCTCACAGGATAAGTTTGGTGTCATACTCATCATATAGGATGGTTGACCTGTCATGTGCCATCAAACATGATGAATTTCACTCATACTTCATTCATACAACATGGTTTCCCTGTCATATTCCATTACATACGTGGCCATAACTCTGATAATCTTGGTTTCCACAAGTAGATGATACAACTTATACAAGACCTACACAGATAAGGTAACAGCTAGCAAATATATGTAAGGAGACTTGATCTTACTTCCCGTCTAGCCCAGTATTCGAACCTGGATCCCTTAGTTTGTGAGCCAAACAATATACAGGGTACAAACTCACTACTAAGCTTACTTAAAACGTTTATAAGTCTATGTGAAGGTATGGCTATGTCAATCAAGAAAGAATTTTTGCTTATATAGTTCTCTTGAAGGTGTTCAATCGTCAAGTACAAGTCGAAATAGACAATTTTTGTATCCTCTATTTGTCTCCAAGTGGTTATGCTTCCCGTTGAGAAATAATCATTACACCTTGATACAAAAACATTCACGAGTCCATATAAATAATATACTTACTTTTTAAGGAGAGACGTTTGACTGGAGAGTTTTTCACGAGGTAGTTTGGAGTAAGGGTACTTCTCAGAACTATTTGGGTATTTGATAGTTCACTGAACTATTTAGAGTACAGGGTGATCACACTAGCCATTCAAGAATGTTGATCACTGGACTCTTTGAAGAGTAGGTTGATCAAAGAACTTATTGAAGGACAGATTGATCACAGTACTGAAGAACACGTTCATAAAATGACTCTTTGAAGAATAGGTTGATGATAGGGCTCTTTGAAGTAAATGATCAAAATACGAACTGAAGCACGAGATTATTTGGGACTCCTTGGAGGAGAGAGTGGAAGAGCGGGTCACACCAAGCTGGTCTGTGGTTATCACCCGAGTGTGTGTGTGTTCAGGGCACCACGAGTAAGATTATCCAGGTTGCCAAGCATAGTATTTACAGAAGTTGTGAGTTCTTCAGTAGATGTGACACAAAAACGATTTTTCTGTAATTTTCGTGATTTCTCACATTATCATAGGTCCTTGATAATGTGAGAACTCACGAATGCACCTGGAATTTCACTATTTTTCACAGTGGTTGTTCTGCATATATATATTATATATATATATATATATATATATATATATATATTATATATATATATATATATATATATATATATATATATATATATATATATATATATATATATATATGTGTGTGTGTGTGTGTATTTGCGGCAGCTGATCAATTCGGACTTCATGGTCTCGTGTGTCACACAGCAGAAGGGAAGTATGCCAGGCATGAGGAGGTCAATGACATCATAAAGAGAAGCCTCGCTACAGCCTGTTGCCCAGCTCAACGGGAACCCCAAGTGCAGAGGTCTGACCGAAGTCAAAAGCGTCCTGATGGAGCCACTATGCTACCTTGGAAGGATGGAAAGCAGATTGCCTGGGACTACACATGTGCCGCCACATTGGCAGACACCTACTTGCCATTCTCCGTAGTGGAAGGGGGTGCAGCTGCCAGCCACAGGGAGACCCAGAAGATCCGCAAATATGAAGACTTTCCCCCTTGCTATAACTTCATCCCAATAGGGTCGGAGACCCTTGGAGCATGGGGCAAGTGTGCTCTAAAGTTCCTAATAGAGCTGAGTGAAAAGCTCATCATAGAAAGCAAGGACCACAGGGCGACCAGCTTCCTCTTTCAGAGACTCAGTGTTGCGATTCAGAGAGGAAATGCCTGCAGCATTCTGGGCACACGGCCCACCGCCGGGGAGCTGGACGAAGTATTCGAGATGTAGCTCTGAGTTACCTATATTGTTTTACTTTCTATCGTATTTTTGTGAATGTTTTGTCAATGTATTTTGTCTTTAAATAAAATATATATAAAATATAGGGGGTGGTAGGAGAAAATTCTCAAACAGCTTCAGGGAGAACCTTGAGATTTCCCTGAAGCAAATTTATTCTTTTCTCTGATGATGAGTGCCCCTATAACAGTTCTAGAGGTGGTACTTCCCTACATTATATATATATTATATATATATATATATATATATATATATATATATATATATATATATATATATATATATATATATATATATATATATATATATTACCTGGAGTTTACCTGGAGAGAGTTTCGGGGGTCAACGCCCCCGCGGCCCGGTCTGTGACCAGGCCTCCTGGTGGATCAGCGCCTGATCAACCAGGCTGTTGCTGCTGGCTGCACGCAAACCAACGTACGAGCCACAGCCCGGCTGATCAGGAACTGACTTTAGGTGCTTGTCCAGTGCCAGAATAGGCAGAACTTGCGATCTTGGCTTAAATAGCAACGCTCATCTTGCCATATAGGACAAGTGAAAATTTGTGTATGCAATAATTTCGCCAAAATCATTCTGAACCTAACGAAAAAAATATATTTCACTGGGTTTGTTTAGTATTTAATTATTGTAAACAAATCTAAAATATATTTAGTTGGGATAGGCTAAAATAAATTGCTCTTGTTATAATAAGGTTAGGTAAGTTTTCTAAGATGCTTTTGGTGCAAAAATAAAAATTTTTACATTAACATTAATGAAAAAAATATATCTTTAAACGTATAAGAGAAAATTTCAGAAGGGGCTTAATTTTAAATGAGTTCTTGCTAATTGACCAGTTTTACATATTCGGCACGACATTATATGAACTGTTTAGAAGGCTGTTTCATGGGCGGATTGTTGAGGATAGCTTGTGCCTTGAGTCTGCAATCTTCGGATGAAGAAAGATGGAAACTGAAGACGTGTAAAGGCTTGTTTTATGTAAATACATTCATCTTCAAGAAAACAAGGGCTGGAGATGCGAAGAGCTCTCAAGAAGAAGCCAGTGAGGACTCCTCTTTTACTGCGGGTGTCTTGGTGTGAATAGAAGTGTATAAGATCGTACTTGTTGGTAGGTTTTCTATACACTTTGAAGAGAAGTTTGTCACTGTCGGGAGATCTGCACTGGAGGACGTTTAGGAAAGGAAGTTTGCCATCTTTTCCGAGGTTAAGTGTAAACTTTATTGATGTTTCGGCTGCATTGATCTTGTTGAGGAGGGCCTAGATATTGAGACGACTTGGATAAAAAACCAGTATATCATTAACGTATTTTAGCCAGGTAACGGTGTTAGGAATGAGGGTGCTGAATTTCTCTGTGTCTAGACTTTCAGTGCTACCCTAACAATAAGCTCTGACAAATCTATTTACTCATGTGCAAGTCACACTCAAATCCAACCCCTCTCACTCATGTATTTATCCAACCTAAACGTGAAATTACCCAAGGTTTTAGGTTCAATCACCCTACTAGGTAGACTGTTCCACTCATCAACTACTCTATTTCCAAACCAGTTCTTTCCTATATCCTTTTTAAATCTAAACCTATCTAATTTGAATCCATTATTGCGGGTTCTAAGGTAAGACACATATGCAACAGTTAGACAACTTTATTCCGAAACGTTTCGCCTACACAGTAGGCTTCTTCAGTCGAATACAGAAAGTAGGCAGGAACAGTAGAGATGTGAAGACGATGTAATCAGTCCATCCAGTTCCATAGTCAGTTCCTGACTATGGAACTGAAATGCTCCAGGCTGAGGGACTGACAACCCCAAATTCTACGACTTCAAGGGTGATGGACTGATTACATCGTCTTCACATCTCTACTGTTCCTGCCTACTTTCTGTATTCGACTGAAGAAGCCTACTGTGTAGGCGAAACGTTTCGGAATAAAGTTGTCTAACTGTTGCATATGTGTCTTACCTTACAACCTGTCGGTATTGTATACCATTTTGATGTTCATTGCGGGTTCTCTCTTGGAGGGATATCCTCAAAACATTATTTATATCCCCTTTATTAATACCTATCTTCCACTTACACACTTTATTACAAACCAGGAATTCAAAGGCCTGTTATCCTGGGTGTAAAGGGAGCAAAATAAACACAGCAGAAAAACTTTTAACTTATATTATCCTTCACAAAGTAAGAACGGAAGTATGTACACTATATACACTATGTACAACAATAGGTTTTAGTGCACTCCACGGTAAGCAAGGCAGAATAGAAGCCACTAGAGAGCAGACCGTGCTTCAACCAGCTCTAGGATGGGAATGACAAGGGCAGACAGGTGTGTGGTGCCCACAACACCTCTGCGATTGCCAAAACCATTTTCTCATTGGCTTGAACCTGATAAATGATCGAATAACGGGGCCCCATCGTTCGACCCTAGTACTGCTTCGCTGGTTAGGGGAGATAGCCTTTCAATGAGGGTGTGTACATGCGTCAAATAAAGGTTACGTGCATGCCACACATTTCGATCATGTTTCCCCTCATTCTTCGTCTTACAAGTGAACGTAATTTAAGGGACTTCAATCTTTCTTCATACGGAAAATTTCTAATGCTATAAATTAATTTTATCATTCTCTGAATGTTTCCTAACGAATTTATATCCATTCTGTAATATGGAGACCAAAACTGAGCCGCATATTCTAGGTGACGTCTTACTAATGATATATAAAGCTGAAGTATAACCGCTGGACTTCTGTTGCTTACACTTCTTGATATGAATCCCAGTAATCTATTTGCCTGATTATGGATGCTTAGACATTGCTCTCTTGGTTTAAGATTGCTGCTTACCATAACCCCCAAGTCCTTTTCGCATTCTGTAGAGCTAAGTTCAACATTATTAAGCTGGTAGGTGCTAGGGTTATGAACATTACCGAACTTTAGAACTTTGCATTTGCCACTTTTCTGACCATGAATTGAATTTGTCTAAATCCTCCTGAGGTTCCGTGACATCTACATCTGATTCGATTATCCTACCTATCTTCGTGTCATCAGCGAATTTGCTCATACTACTAGTAATTCCCTCGTTAAGATCATTGATATAAATTATAAACAATAATGGGCCTAATACTAATTCCTGTGTTAAGCAGTCTTGTTTCAAAAAAAAAGCCATATATTATTAAGAACAGATGATAGAGGATTTCCCATTGTCATACCAAACTTCTGAGTGTAAAACTCGTCATTAAACAAATTTTGCATCAGCAATACAAAGTTTAATAAATTTAATGATAGGAAATGGCAATGGTAAATCGTAATTAAAAGTTCTTCAGATAAGAAACTTAATATATCATGTGATAAATGGTTTTGAAAACCGACAAGTTGAAAATTGATACACATGTGCAACATCTGGGTATCATTTCTGTAGATGTTTCGGCATCCAGTGGCTTTATCAATACAGATTCTAGGACATAATTCGAAGACAGAAAAACTATATACAAAAGATGAGGTAATAAGTCCCTCAGCCTTGGAGTTGGTGTGGAGAGCAACGTAGTCGTGAAGATTCTGGTGAAGATAATGGTGTTCTTATCGAATGGCATGGAGAACTCATTCCATATAAATGATCATGAACAGGCACTCTGGTGAACAATGCCATGACATCAAAACTTTCTAGTTCAAAATTATTAGACCTGTTAACATTTTGTAATTTGTCAGTGAGATCAACACTATTTTATGTAGGCTTTAAAAATGTTGCCAAACATTGGAGTTAATATTTTTACCAATCATTTTGACAAAGCATAAATCGCCGATCTCGTATAACTAATAACAGGTCTCGCTGGAAAACCAGACTTGTGGGTTTTAATCAAACCATACTATAAGGGAGTGTCGCAGACCTAGCTGATAATTGTTTAATCAGTTTCGTATTACCTCTCAGTAATTTTCTAAGTTGTTTATTAAACTTACTATTAAATTGGTCCAATTGTTTCTTATTAAGGGGCACATGCTGTTGGAATGTGAGTAAAGTAACATTTATGAAGGGATTCAGGGAAACTAGTTAGCCGGACTTTCACCATAGGTGATGTGTAATTTTTTGATTGTGTGATGGG